TGATCATGTCCTTATAGCATTCCCATGCTTCGAAAAGCGATTTGTTATCTTTTTGTCTGAAACCATTGATGTTGGCTCTAAGCATAACAGTTTTGCTTGGTGGGAAATATCTAGCTAAAAAGACTTTTTTCAACTCATCCCATGTGATGATTGAGTTTGAAGGAAGATATTGGAGCCATGCTCGAGCTCTGTCTCTTAAAGAAAAGGGAAATAGGCGCAATCGTATCGCCTCGGGGTTTACACCATTCGCTTTTACAATGTCTGCATACTGCACAAACACTGACAGATGTAGGTTTGGGTCGTCAGTAGGAGATCCAGAAAATTAGTTCTGCTGAATGGCAGATAGAAGCGAAGGTTTTAGCTTGAAATCGTTTCGAGCGATAGCAAGAGCGGCAATGCTGTTGTGGGGCTCCGCTTGAGAAGGAACTGCGTAATCCTTAAGAGCACGGGGTGGATTTGGTCCGTCAGCCATCTTAGATTCTTTAATTAATTCAGGGATTGAGATATCAGGGAGCTTAGTCGGAGGAAGATTGTTGAGATCACGATATTCTTGAACTCGACGTCTTACTCTAAGATAACGCTCGATATCGTTGATTTGTAAATGCAAAGGCTCGCTTTGGGAGCGAGTATTTGGCATACAACAGAGGGAAAAATAAATAGTTGCCTTAGTCTATACAGTACTACTTTACGAGTGCACTAGTGACTAAATTAAAATCCCCGGCAACGACGCCAAAAACTTGATGTGCGATCGACCTAATGTGTCTAACGGTATCTTAACTGTAAGTGCACAGCCTATCGCAGTAGTAATAAAAATATGTCGAACCCACAGGGACTTTGTAATCACTCTAGTGCTATAAAGGTTTGCTAGTTTAGCTAAGGCGGATGTTGTCATGTTTGGTTGTTTAGAGGTTAAGGTAAGGGAAAAATAAATCGAATTAATGGAATAATAATAATAAAACGGTCGATATGTAATGTAGTGAACCTAAGTGGATCTAGTCGAACCTAAGCATATGAAGATGTTTAACTTAGACGGTTCTGTAGAAATTATCAGTTTAAAAACCCTCAACTCACACTCTCGTGGTCTTATCTCGGATTATACCCCTAAAGCCCTATGCATGCTCTCGCTAGCCCATAAGTGTTTAGAAAATACTTTTTGAAAACTTAATAAAATCTAATTCGTTTTAAAGCGCTCTATCTGTATTTAAATCAAATGCCTAACTTTAGCTATCCAGTTAAAACCTCACACTCTCGTGGTCTCGATCCTAACTTATTCTACTTTTCTTACTCTCGTAACAAAAAGATTGATTTTAATTATAAAAAGTCACAACCAGAAATTAAGTTAATTTAGATTTTAGCTTAGGCACAATTTAATCCATTTGGTTACTATTATCACATCCCGACTCTATAAAATTAGCTAGTCATAGTACTCAAAATAGACATACATAAAATATAATCGGGAAAGAATAAAGCATTCATGATAAAATAAATAAATAAATAAATAAAAGTAAACAAATTATATTAAAATTTAATGCGATTAAAAACCTGAATAACAATATTATTCCTCAAGCTCCCTCTTCCACAAGTCGGCAAGATTGGAACTTCGAATCGGAACTTGAAACAAATTCTGAGGTTAAAAATAAATTCTGACTATAATAACAATTTCCTAATGTTGGAAATAGTTATTAATTGGTAAAAAGGGAAAATAAAGCAAGAACAAAAAATGCAGTATTAAATTTGGTAGGGCTTTCGCAAGAAAATTATGTAGCAAAAACTCTCTCTGTTCCACTAAAATGCCTCCTATTTATAGAAGAGGATTTTTGCAGTTAATAGAATTCAGGAACGTGGACTTGCACTGGTTGAGTGGAGGAAGACCCGGGCTGTTCGTTGCTGAAGTTGAGAAATTGTAGGAGAAGAAAACATCCACTACGTTACCCACGTCTTCTGTTTTGCATGACACTGAATTACGCGTGTGACGGTCGTCATGAGGAGGTGACTGTCGTAATGTTCTTAAATAGCGCGTTACGTTCGTCAATGATGTGTGACGAGCGTTCTTCAGGATGTGAGCGCGTTACGTTCGTAACGGAGGTGTGACGGTCGTCATGTCATCAAACTTTGCAGATTAGTTCTTTTTCTTCTGATTTTTTTGGTTAGCTTTCTTCGTGTGATCCTTTTTCACTAATTTGATTTGAAACATGTTGTACCTGTGAAAAGACATAAAAACTCGGAACAATCGGGAGTTAAATGGGTTAATGCATTATGAAAATTGATTAAAAATGTAGCAATTATATGATACGATTTCTCGTTATCAATCCGCGAGTTCTGGGGTCACAGGCTCTGTTGGCCGCTTCCCTTTCCTCATAGTCCATGTAGGCCCTGGCCTTCTCGAGGAGAGCATCAAACGTTCGGGGCGGTTCGATGCCCACTGCTTTTCTGAACTCTGTGTCGGGGAGGAGTCCTCTCTCCAGCAAGTATCTTTTCATGTGGTCCGCGCAGGGGACCTGGATGGCTTCACGGTTGAAGCGGTTGATGAATTCTCTCAAGGTTTCATCCTGCCTCTGGACGATAGCCTCGAGCGCCGCTTCGGTCTTTGGATGTCGCCGTGACGCGGTGAACGAGCTTATGAATTGGTTTTTCAAGTTTCGCCACGAGGTGATAGACCCCGGGGCAAGACCCTTGTACCAATCCATTGCTGCTTTCCTGAGGGTTGTGGGGAACAACTGGCATTTGATGGGTCCCCCAATGTTACAGTAGTGCAGCATAGCTTCGAACCCGTCTATGTGATCGACCGGGTCGGCGACTCCGTCGTACTCCTTTAGGTGAGGGGGTTTCTCCATGCCCGGAGGGATAGGTGCCTCCATGATGGCTTGTGACAGGGGACCGCGGGGGTCGTCCTCGTCACTTCACTATGGGGAAAGGGATGGGGATCTAAGGTACTGTCGGGCACGACGACCGTGGTCGTGTTGGACGTCCCTCGAGCGGTGCACTCGTTGATCTGTCCTTCCGTGCTTGTCTCCAGGGTGTCCTCGTTCTTGCCGTAAAGGGTCGTGGTTGCACCATCCGGCTTCAATGATTGGTTCCCTCTCCAAGGGGGCCCGTCTCCCCGGTTGTCAGGGTGACGGGCTTCGGGAGGTGTCTCTGTATTGTCTCCGCGGGGGAGACGGGAGACGTACCTCTGTTCTTCGAGGAGGTGAGGTCTGAGGCCTCCTGTGTCTCCTCGGGGGTCTCCTGTTGTCCTCTAGCGCCCTCAATCTTTCCCCCTGGGCAAAGATGAGGTAATTGGTCTGGTTGATTGCCGCGAACAGTGCTCTGGTTGTGGCGTCTGCTCTGGCGGGGACAGGGACCTCCTGGAATTGGGCGACTAGATGGTTTGGGGTACCTGCATTGTCTTCTTCGAGCGGAGGGGGTGCCAAAGAAGATGAGGCAGTGACTCCGTCTCGGTGGCCTAAGGACCCGAGGATGACGCCCCCGGGGAGTATATTTTGGTCGGTGTTGTCGGTGTTGTCGGGGGCTCCGTTCTTGTCCGCGAGGTTGTTGTTGGCATTGACGACGCAGATGTTCTGGTCGTCCCGAATTTGGTCAGCCATGACGGTGGAAGGTGATTTTTAGCTTTGGTCTTCGAAAGTTTGTAAGACGGGGGAACTTAGTTTCCCACAGACGGCGCCACTGATCTTACCGGATCAGACTTGGACCGTCACAACTGGCTCGAAGTGAATTTGGATGGAGTGGGAAGGGGGGTACCTGCAAGACACTCTGATGATAAAATGAGAGACGGAATGAGCAGGCAAAAATACGTAGGTGTGTAATGAATGAATACCTGACCCTCTTGAAGTAGAGGGTATTTATAGCCCCCAGCGCTGGGCCAAGGTCCCCTCATTGGGCCGACCAGAATTGGCCCAATAAAGGGTCTGCCAAATTCTACGTGTGTAGTGGGGACCCGTACGTGGTCCCCTTCCTGGATGGTGCTCTGCGAAGAATGAAGAAGAACGAAGATGCGGTCTTTCTGGAGCTTTGAGGATTCCATAACGGCTCGAGTGGACAGAATCTGTTCTACGGGGAGGGTGCTCGAGCTGGACTCGAGCTGGAGTTCTCTTGGTCGGGGACGCTGCTCGTCGAGGGCAACGACGGACATTGCAACTGTAGTCTGTGGTCGGGCACGTTCGGTGATGGTCCGATTGTGAGCATTCCTCGAAAAGCTGCTTAGATCTGGGCCTTTATTTGCACTTTGGGCCAAGGTGGGCTCAATCCAGAACACGAATTAAATTCATGTGACAACCTATCATGAAATGCAAGTGGCATTATTTATTTGTATACCGTACAAAACAATTAAAAATATTTTGAAAATTTTGACAACAATTCACACTACTCATTAACAATAAAAGATTACGATACTTCTTGTTCTAACAAGAGAGCCTAAAATCTCATAATACAAATTCAAGTAAAAAAACAATGAAAAACAAATATTAATACCTCTGAATCCAATTACTATTCATTTTTCTAAAATTTTGTTTTTCAAAAAAAGATAAATATTTAACTCACGAGAACAAAAAATCTATGCTTCTACTTTTGAGGAATGACATTTTTAGTTATTGGCATTTTGATTTTGTCAATTGCTAATAAACTATTTTTTTTATCTGAACACTTTAGTTTTAGAAATAGATTATAGATCATTGAGATAGGTAAACCCTAATTGACAAATTCTTTACCTAATATTTAAATTCAGATTTTTCTAAAGAATTTGTGATTTTCATTAACTACCTTAGTCCAATAATAAAGTGAAACTCAAAATTAAATGAATGATAATCAAAAGAGTATATATACAATTAGTAACACCATTGTATTTTTACTTGGAGCCAACAACAAAGACTAGTATAGACCCAAAAAGTCAGACTCAAACTATCTTAGAGCGCAAGCCGCAAAGCACCGCACGTATATATAGACCCCAATTAGAGTTTCATTTTGTTGCTGAACGAAGAAAAGAATAACCAAATCGAAAACCAAAAATGGCGGAATCATCATCATCGTCGTCGTCTTCAACAGCACCAGCACTGAGAGCGAAGTCCGATACAGAGATAGAAGAAATGCTGGATCGGATGCTAACTCGCTTAGCTCTCTGCGACGATTCCAACCTCGAACCCTTACTCTCCAAGCTTCTCCCTCTCACAATCTCTTCTCTCTCTTCTCAAGCCATCGCAGTTCGCAACAAGGTACTTCGCGAATTTCAATTCCGCCATCGCTTTTCCTTCACCAGAAAATGTTCATTATGCAATTGTTATCAAATTAGGTTTACGGATGAAATTGATGAATGAAACGGATATGAACTATAATTGATAGTATATTAGGATTACGAGACATTTTAGTGTAACAAATTGTTTACGTGCTTGTTTATCGGTTTGCACGGTTTATTTGATTCGGTTTAGCTGCGATGAAGAAGTGGTTTGGTGAAAGTTTAATGGTTTATAAAATTGTGTGTTTGACAGGTTCTTGAGATTTTGAGTCACGTGAACAAGAGAGTGAAGCTTCAGTCTGATATTGGTTTGCCTTTGACTGAGTTGTGGAAATTGTATTCGGAACCTGGTGCTGCTCCGATGATAAGGAATTTTTGCATTGTCTATATAGAGATGGCTTTTCAACGTGTTGATGCAAAGGTTTCTCGATCATTCTTTATTTCTTATTGTCTGTTTGTTACTTTATTACTGTTGTGGAGACAATCTAATGCTCATGCATTTTGATTAGGTAAAGGAAGATTTGGCACCTGAACTCTTGATGAACATCTCAAAACTTCCTATTCAACACCAGGAAATTATCCTTAGAATCATTGTTAAGGTATCAACCTATTCTGAATATTCATGTTGTTATATAACTAAATGTTGTACACCACTTCGTTAGATACTGAATACTGCTGATTATTTTAAGTTTTTGTAAGTGGGACTATGAGGACAACGTCTGGTATTGACTTTGGCCATTTATTTCTCGCTTGGTCAATGATTTTATTTATCTATATTATATTTGGTCATAAACTAAGCAGGGTTTACATGCTCTTGTCTTTCATACTTAACAGATTATTGACCGCTGTTAACAGCTGTCACTAACAACAGCAACATATCTTAAGATACAATACAATAAGCAGGGGTTCATAAAAGCATGTCCATATTTGTAACAAAAGCGTTCATATACTCTTAACAGAGTAACAGTGCTTATATTTACAAGTAGCTGTTATGAACCCACATACAAGAATTGAAGATTTGTATGATAAATAGAAAGAAAAAGAATGAATCCATCATTGGTCACGGAAGTATGAGCTGAAAAAGGAGATGGTTCTCCTTCCTAGTGTTTCTCCTTTGTACTACAAAGCATATTACCAGTTCCCAAATGCTATATAGAAAAAACTTCCTTTAATCTATTTAAGCTAATCCCCTGCTCTTATTATAGCCACCTAAGTATTTCTATAACTACTTGTAAGAAATTGTACAACTTCTAGAGTCCTATCAACATGATACTAAAGTAAGTGCTGGCACAAGCAAAAGTGCTCGCTTACATTTTTCTATTTTGCTATCTCCCAATACTCCCTCGCATGAGAAGCTGGGAGAACTTGAGTATTGGCGTCAGTTGCAATATGCTTTGGCTGGTTTGTGAAAAAAGGATGAACGTTTCAAGAAAGAACTCAAAATATCCATTTGCACTAGAATGCTGCTTGTCATTATTATTCTGTCCTAAATCCAGTTTATAGTCTTATTTCCCCTGAAACATGTTTGCGAGAATCATGCTTAGTTATTGATCTTTGGGATATGAGTTATGTCATGACTACTTCTAATTAATAGCTTCCTGATTTTAGGTAATTGGTGAGTGCCACTCTCGTAAAATTGCTGATGAAGTTGCTGCAAAGTTTAAAGAAGTGAGGAATTCTCAAGATAGGGAGCTGTTTATTGAGTTTTGTCTTCATACAATGTTGTACCAGAGGGTCTCTCAAAGGTCTGAAATTGGATTTATACTAAATGGAGCTTGTGATATTTGCGTTTGTTTTGTCACAAATTAGTTTGATTGATTCCAATTTAATCAAATTGTAGTTTCTGTTTCGTTGCAGTGGTGGATTCCCGCCTGGTCTTTCTGTTACTCAAGTCAATCGTGTTACAGGGAAACAACAGTTGCAAAGTAATGAACTTCTATTAAGAAAGGTAATCATGTGCTAGTTATACCATTATCTTACCCTGTAAAGTTCAGATAGTGTACGTTGTTGATGTGATTACCATGGTTCTGAGAACTGGTAATTTCTTCCACTTCTACTCCTATCTGTCAACCTTCCTATTTGTTCTTATATGAGAAGGAACACTGTCTAATTTGAGAGTGTCTTGTCTCCATAGGATATTCTGTTCATTTTGTTATATCTTTCTGAACTAGAAATTCAAGAGTATATAATTCAGGATTTGATTCATTATAGGATATCATGGTTTTGTTTGATTCATGTAGCTGAACATCCAGTGGAAAAGGACTATGCTGATTGTTGTTATTGACTTCTAAATTTTCATTTGAACAAACATGCAAACCTGTCAGTATATCCACATTTGGGTGCTTATAAGTCATAAGCACCTCCAATTGTGCCTTTAGTAAGAAAGCTAATATAGGCGATGTCTTATTTTGTTCTTTTGTTAGTGCAGTTGGGTATTTTGAATGTCATTGAAGCCATGGAGCTTGACCCTGAGCTTGTTTATCCTTTATATATTGCTGCTTCTGTAGATTGGTATGTTGTAGATCTCATTTTACTGAAATAGTTTTTATTCTTTCTTACTAATTTATTTTTTTGAGTTATATCTTTGTTGTGGTTTATTTATGAATGATCACATTTGTTGTTTGATCAATTAACTCAAGTGAAGAGCCTGTGGTCAAGAGAGGTGAGGAGCTTTTAAAGAAGAAGGCCAGTAGTGCTAGTCTAGATGATTTAAATCTGCTCAAGAAACTATTTTTGCTATTTAATGGTAAGCTATTACAATGTTTGTTGAGATAGAACATATGTTGTCTATTATAGAGTTACAATATTTTCATTTTTTCCCTTCAATTTGTTCATGCTTATATGTATATGTTTGAAAGTTTCATATGAATCTTAAATGTGGGCTTTCACGATTCTTACATAAATTAACTCTTAAAAATATCCGCGTGCTTCAGAGTCTGCTTAGTTAAATTAGGTTGTTCCAAACTACACTTTTTTTTTCATATGAAAGTGGGTATAAGGTAACTGCCTTTGTCCATGGTTATAAATTTCAAAATAATCAAGAGAAGGCACTCAACCACACTTTGCTCCTGATATATTTTTGTTCAGTCCAGAAATTTAAAATCAAGAGAATGATTTAAGCATTGTGATATTTTTTTTTTTTTTGTATTTATTAGCTATTTTCTACCAAGTCAAAACCTATTGTGTGTCAGCGTGTGTGTGACATTTTCTTTCTCTTGCTTGGAGAGCTCTTACTATATCTTGGAAGTGTTTTCAATTTTATGTTCTTTAGTGATTGACCTTGACGGTGAATATAGGTACTGTTGGAGCTGAAAGTGTTGATTCAGAGTCAAGAGTGAGTCCTGGGAGTCATGCTCTAAAGGCAAAGTTGATGTCTATATTCTGCCGATCTATTGCAGCAGCAAACAGTTTCCCATCGACCTTGCAGTGCATTTTTGGTTGCGTTTATGGTAGTAAAGTGTTTATTTATTAATCATAACCTTTAATGTGCTGATATTTTTGCTTTTGTTAAAATTTGTTGACTATTTAATTACAAAGTTAATTGCTCATGATTTATATTCATTCATCACACATGCAATATAATAAAACTACTTGTGCACCTAGAACAAATTACTGCCTTCCTCTATTGTGTATGAGTTCATTATCCAAATTTCAAGAGACAAATGTGTATGGTTTAAAGATTGGGACATCAGTCCTAACTTTATTGTTTTGTCCATTGTATTAATTTCTTTTCTGTTTTATCTAAACTATTACATATTCTTGAATTTTATAGGTAATGGTACCACATCAAGGTTGAAGCAATTGGGAATGGAATTTACTGTTTGGGTATTTAAGCATGTGAGTATGATATTACTTTGCTTTTGGTTTTTGTCATAAGTTTCACTTGTAGATACAAATTCTCTTTTTCGCCCGTAACATATTAAATAGAAATGGTTCAGTTGAAGGTACTGCATGAATTTTTCAATACAAAATCTGTATATACGTGTGAAATTGTAATGAGGGAATTGCTTCATAATGTAACCATCAGACGCCCTATAAGTTGGCGGGATTTGTGAGTTGGTTGGAAGCTGAATGAATGTTTGTTGAGGAAAGGATACAGGTGCTATCAAATTCACCCTAGAGTTGTATGTTTTTAGTGGGATGGATCTTCAAAAAAGAAGAAGTTCTGGAGCACTCTTTTTGCATCTGTGTCTGCAGAGTTTCTTTATTTTCTTCCTTATACCAGTTGAATCTATCAACTGGTAGCATGTTGAGGTGGAAGATGGCGATGACTAGAGTTCTTGGGTTTGCAAGAGAAGATGCTACTGTGTGGATCGGTAGGATAGTAAGTATTTTAGGTTGAAGGGTGTGTGGGGGAAAAAGGAAGCTGTTCTGGCAGCTATGGAAGGCAATGCCCTCTCGTGGATGCATTTTTGGGAATTTTTCACATCAAATCCCATTTGTAACTAGTTTAAGGAAGCCGCAATTATAAGAATTCAGCCAGCATTGGCTCTAAATTCATAAGGTCCTATTACATTTGTGGCGAGAGGATTCAGTGCATTGTTGCTTCATACGAGTCATTTGTTGAAAATATTTTCACGTGGACACTACAAAAGAGAAGTCTTTATTCTAATTGAATTGAATTATCTTTATTTATGGATGTTACCTAGGTGTGATGGGTTCAGTTAAAGATGAAACTCAACATACCTAGTGAGATGCATTGCAAATGATTTCACATCCCTTTTTGTCCCATATGCTGTTGTTGTACACATACTTTTGTCCCATACCGAAGTGTTGTTCCTTCATCATCTCTAATATTTGTAAATATAAATGCAGGCAAAAATTGATCAGCTGAAGTTAATGGGTCCTGTTATTTTGAGTGGAATTATGAAGTCTCTTGACAATTATTCTATTTCAGAAGCAGGTTTGCTTAACGAATTAAAGTTATTTTGTATTTGAATGATATTATTTATTTTATTTCATATTCAATTTTTAAGTATTGACTCAGATGCCAGTGCTAGAGAGGTCAAAACTTATGCTTTTCAAGCAATTGGACTGCTTGCGCAACGTATGCCTCACCTCTTCAGGTGCTAGCCTCTTTATTTCTTGTGGTTATAGTTTATTTCCTCTTTATTTCTTGTGGTTATAGTTTATTTCCTCTTTATTTCTTGTGGTTATAGTTTATTTCCCTTGGGTAAATTTGTTTTTTTCTGGAATTTATTTGCATTAGCGGGACCAAAATATATGGTTTAGATTGCAAAATGTTGTAGCACATTTGAAATAAACAACGTATGGTTCCTGATCTGTCTGTTCAAAGCTTACTGTCTGGCCTTTCTACAATGCAATTGCGAGGCCGGAGACTTGTATCATATATAATTAGTCCATACAACAAGGTTTTTCTGCTTATCTGTGTATTGCATGATTTCAAAGTTACCAAGAATGTATTCATTAACCTTTTCCAATAAATTATCCTTATTTATTGTATCTCAATTGACTTAACTACTCCAATAACTAATATTTATTAAAAAAAAACTGCTCCAATAACTACAATGCAATTGCGAGGCCGGAGACTTGTATTATATATAATTAGTCCATACAACAAGGTTTTTCTGCTTATCTGTGTATTGCATGATTTCAAAGCTACCAAGAATGTATTCATTAACCTTTTCCAATAAATTATCCTTATTTATTGTATCTCAATTGACTTAACTACTACAATAACTACTATTTATTAAAAAAAAAAACTACTCCAATAACTACTATTTATAAGGATATTTTAACAAGTGAAACTCATTTCATCATTAAAATCGACACAACTAATCATTTCCTTAAGAATTATGCAAAACTCAATGGGATACAGAAAATGAAATGGAGGGAGTAATAATTATTATTTTGCAAGGATGCCGCTTTATTGACACTTAGTAAGTACTGTATTGAGTAATTGAACTAGAAAATTGCAGTGTTTGATATTCTGATTTTTTAATAACATTGATGATCTGAAACTGAGATTAAAAGAGGTATTTGATATTTTTAGATTGTGATGCTGGTCATCACAGCTCTGTTAGAGTGTTGCAATACCGTATCTATACAACTGTTATTACTAATCTATCAACAGAGAACAATTAGCTGATTACTACTGCCAGCTATCCGCTTGATAGTTAAAGTTTCAGTTAGCTTCCCCGTT